CGGAAGAGCTGTAGACTAAGGTGGATGAACTATCATAATCCTGACATTAAGAAAGGAGAATTCGAGGAGGATGAAGTTGATCTAATTCCTAGACTTCACAAGCTTCTGGGTAACAGGCAAGTATAGACTTTCTCCCCATCAGGGTGAGGATGACAAGTACTCATAAGTCTTTCATAGACATCATGCTGAAATAGTCGAACATATAGAATAGAAAAAAAAAAATTAACTACAAAAATGTCACTCAAAAGATATCATCTTTACATTTTACATTTATGTCACCTAATGGCATAAACTTAGCATCTATGTCCCTCAGATGACCGGACATTTACAGAGAGTATTTTAGGGCCCGTTTAGTTCATTGTTCGAGTTAAGATGTGATTTTATATGAGAATTTTTTACTATAATAAAAAAGTTAGGTGTGACTGTTTCTTAGAGTTTTTTACTGTAATAAAACTCGAATTTTAAATTTGAATCGGTGAAATGAACGGAACCTTAGTAAAATATGATATTTTATAATGCGTATTTTCCTAGGACAGCACTAATAAATGGCATGTAGAATATTTGTTTTCTTAATTTTAGCATTATTAGTAATTTTCATAATTAATAAATCTTCATAGCAATTATTACGTGTTACTAATTTGTACAGCAAGATTAAACATTCTCATTATTCACTGTATTAATATGGTTTATTAATCTGACAGACGGGCCCTAATTGCTGGTAGAATTCCAGGAAGAACGGCTAATGACATAAACAAATTTTGGAATACCCATTTACGCAAGAAAGTGTTCCCTAGCAAAATCGAAGTGTTTCTTTGTGAGAAAAGCAAAAAAGATGACAACGGTAAGAGGATACTAGAATCCAACGTGATAAAGCTTCATCCTCCGAAATTCCCTAAACCAGTACAACAATTACAACAACCTATAAATATTACTAAAACTATGTCACCAGAAGAAAATAATATTCCATCAAAAGTAAACATTAATAATAACGGTGAGCCGTCTGTAGAAGATCAGGTTGGATATTATTAGACGACAGATCAACAATATTGGAGAAACAATCTACTCCAAGGCCGGTGCTAATTTAGAGGGAACGCCTAATCCAAGCTTTTCAGTTGAAGAAGTAAAACTGGCAGAGCCGATTATTAGAGATATGGGTTTTTGTGAAAAACCCAAAGATTATAATAATTGGGCAGACTTCATTATGGACTTGGAGCTTTGGGATCATGCAGAAGCAGAAAATGAGTTAGAATCTAATATATAATAAGAACCTCACAATGTGCGAGGATTGTGATTTTAGTACTTAATTTTGCATGAAAAGGAGTTAAAATGTATGTGGCAGTTTATTATTGTATTTTATGTACCTTAATTTTGCATGAATATTATATTGAGCTATGTTTGTTTATGCGCGTCATTTATTGCTCGCCCATTATGCTAATTATTGATCAATCTTAACTTACTCTAACGCGCATCAATATTATCGTTTTAATTATGATTGTAGAAATTGAACTTTCTAAACCAAATTAAGTTTTTATCTCTTTTCAACTGGTTAAACGGGATGACTTTCATGTTCCTTATAAGTTTATGTTTATTTTTATGTTTAAACAATATGAGATTGGGTTTAATAATTGCAAGAGATAAAACCCTTAATTGGGTTTTGTAATACATGCTTATCATGAGTACAGTGAGACTTTTTTTAATTCAACGAAAGCACAAGAGTAAAAATTGGCATTATCAAGTGATGTAGCGGAAGCGTAATTGAAGGAAAACAAAACAATAAAATAAAAGGGGCAATTCAGTTTGTCTGTTGAATCATACAGAATGTTAGAAAAACTGTTTGAAAATCCGTTGATTCAAACAGAATACCAGAAATTAGCATCAAGATTCATTGATTCACAAAGAATGTTGAAAATTGGAAAAATAAGAAGTGCAAGCACTCATATTTCATTCATAAAAGTTCTCCCCACTTACATATGATTGAAGTAACATATTTATAAGCTAAACTGCCTCAAATTATAATGGGAAACTACATATAAAATTGTGAAAATAAATAATTACGAAAATTTTAAAAAAAAAAACTAACTTATATCTGACCTATCAATTACGCTAAAAGGAAACTTTCCTAAATGTAAAATTGTTAGCTTCTAAGAATAGAATTTAACTTTTCTTTTGTAATAATTGTTTTTGAGCCAAAAATATGATTCCTAATTGCTGCATGATTTCTTTCCTGATGCGCCCTTCATCATTCTCCCTCGGTTGGAAATAATTCGTCCTTGAATTTGCAATAGCTTTAAGTGATATGTGCAGAGGATAATATGCTTCATGAATTCAGGATGATCCATTTTGGGAGTAAATAAATTGTTAAATTCGCTAAAATGGTCGCGTTTCAAAATAGGTATTATAAAGTCAATTGTATCAAATTGAGAGATGAGTATTTTAGGAATCTCGACTAAATGTTCTTCAGTACCGATGTCAGAGTTGTCGTTGCCGAAAAGTTCTACAAGACCGATCTCATCAGCCTCGTCGAATAAGTCATTTTCTCTTGTTAGGACCTCTTTTCCTCTGGGTGTCTTGCAGTTTTGTTGCTTATATTCTGAATTGTCATAGTTATAACACCTCATCTTACTTGTTGGTCTAACTTGTCTGACTTGTTGGGGGTGGCGCTAAGGGGACAACCTCTTTGTTACTGCTACTAATGTCACTGCTGTTGTAGTTGCTTGGACCTATGCTATCTCCAATCGGAAACCTGTAATTTGGCCGAGATGTCTCCACACTTGTCCGTCTAGTGAATGTCACCTCTAACCGTAGTTCTGAAATAGGATTGTTACGTCGTGGCTTTTGATTCCTATTCAGATTCATATTCTGGATATGCTCTAGTATCCGTTCTTGCACTTTTAGCATGTGTTGCATTCGTTTTTCCAACACCATTAAGCGATCTCGTTCATAAACCTCCTCCACAAGTACATCTCGTCTAGGTGGCATGGTGTAGGATCGTAGCAAAGCTCTAATGCCAAATTGATGTAGCGGAAACTTGATTAAAGAAAAAACAAAACAACAAGATAAAAGGATAATTCGGTTAGTTTGTTGATTTACACAGAATGCCAAGAAAAACGCTTTAAAATCCGTTGATTCACATAGAATATCAGAAATCAGTATTAAGATTCGTTGATTCACAAAAAATACCAAAAATTAGAAAAATAAGAAGTGTAAATACTTATATTTCATTCATAAAAATTCACCCCACTTATATATGATTGAACCAACATATTTATAAGTTAAACTGTCTCAAACGATAACGGGAAACTACAAATAAAATTGTGAAAATAAATAATTCCGAAAATTAAAAAAATGAAATTAACTTATATTTAACCTAACAATTACGCTAAAAGGAAAGTTTCCTAGATGTAAAATTACTATCTTCTAAGAATAGAATTTAACTTTCTTTCGTAATAATTGTTTTTGAGTCAAAAATATGATTCCCAATTGCCGCATGATTTCTTTCCTTATACGCCCTTCATCATCAACTGATTTTAATTAGCACATTACAGTAAGTAGTAATTTTCCCTTAAAAGAAAGTGAAATAGTAATATTGAAATTTAAGTTTGCCATTCTTTTTTAGAAACGGCAGTAAATAACATATTTTTAAAATTAAATTAAATAAATTATATATTTTAAAATTATTTAAAGTAAATAACAGTTTACGTGATAAATGAATCATTTATCAACTGATAAAAATTAACTTATGTACGTGGTAAAAAATCTGTATTTACATAGAAAAAATTCTATTTAGTAGCCGTAAAAAGAAATATTACATGAAAAAATATTTTTATTAGCCATAAATGAACTATTTACGCGGTAAATAATTCATTTACCATATAAACTGTTACTTATTTTAAATATTTTTAAAATATACTATTTATTTAATTTAATTTTAAAAATTTACTATTTACTACCTTCTCCTTTCATTTTAATAAATGAGGGCATCTTTTTAAATATTACTTATTGGCATCTTTTTAAATATTACTTATTGGGTAAATAGTAAATTTTTATTTTCGGTAAGTCAATTATGTACTTTGCTAACATGCATATCCTGAAATCTGTTATATTGCTAGAAGCACATTATAAGTATATTTCTTTAAACTCCATGCATTGCATATTCCCAAAATGTCAACATATCCTTCCACCCCAAGGCTAACCAATTCAACCTCATCCTGATCAATTATTTTGGGTACTTATTTCAAGTAATAAAACCATGCTAGCTCATTTATCGTGATTTATTATATGATCGATTTGTTAGTTTAAAATACATCAACTATCTATAAATTCGCATAGTATTGACTATGTACTAATACATCCATAAATGATCTACGCAATAAATTTATTCTACGCACATGTGCCAACTTGATCGATATTAGTTATAGAAAATAATATGTATGAGATGTGATTGTAACTCGACCGCCCAGTTAGACTTGGCTTATTCAGGAGTTGTTCTTTTAGAATGTAACTTGAGTGTAGTTTTTTAATTATAATTTGAGTTGAAGTTGTAACTTGAATAAAATTGAATAAAATTATAACTTAAAAGAACGTAAATTTAAATAAAATTGTAACTTGAGTTTAAATTTTTTGTGAGTTGTGTCGTAAAACAACAACCTTCGGAAATAAACGTAAATTATGTATTAGTCATGCTCTCTCATATCGTTCCAATAATAAATGAAATCCGTCTTCATTCATCGATCTTCCTAAGGCGCAGAGACCTAATAATTTTCTTTCTTTAAATGAGATTCTAATAAATATGTTATTAGTAGTAATATTCTTGGCACATACATTGCCACTCTCATTACGTTTTTAGTACCCCTCTTTTCCCTGATTATTCTAGAAACTCATATTAGCCGGAAAAAACCACTAGACAGTAACCACTGACCGCTTCTTCAATCTTCATTTTCTCTTTAAAAAAACAGAACAGACAACACGTCGAGAAAGCATAAGAAAATACCGATTAAATCACTGTCAAAAGCGAAAAGAAAAAGGCAAAAAAAATGTTCTTCTTCTTCGTCGGCGGTGTAGAGCAGCAAGTCCGGCAGGTCCTGAAATACGGCGCCGGCAGGTGCATATCGTGCGGCTCCGAGGCCGATCTGGTGGACTACGAGAAGGTTCTGAAGCTCTTCTTCCTTCCGGTGTGGAAGTGGCCGGGCAAAGATCCCATGATGTACTGCGACAACTGCAAGCTCTTCTTCCCTCCTTCTTACTCTCTGCCGCCGCAGACGGCCGAATCGCAGCCTCCGCCGCCGTCCTCGGTGCCTGTGTCTCTGCGTTGCCGCTTCTGTGATCGCCTCGTGGAGCCTGATTTCAGATTCTGCCCCTTCTGTGGCTCTGCTCTGTAAATTGGGTCTAGGGTTTTTCTGAGGTTTAAAATGTTGGTTGTTTTCTTTGTGGATATGTAAATCAATTTTCTGTTTTAATAAAGCGATTAATCGGATTGAGGTTAAATCTTTAGTGTGCGTTTTATATCTACTGCGAAATCGAGAATAGATGGTGTAGCTAAATAAAGTTTCCAATTTGAAGGTGGAATTATCGGTTCGTTTGAGCTGCTCAAATCTTGTTCATTTTAATAATATTTGTATCCACATTTAAAAAAAATAAAAAAAAATTTATCTGCCTTCGATTGATTCTCCGTATAATTGTGGGTGTGTGAGTAAGAAATTATAAAATACTATATATTTGCTTGTTTTTATGTATTGAATCTTTATATTTAGATAATTTGTTTCGAAGAGGGTGAGAAATTATGCGAGTTGCAACAGAGGACAAGTATTTGGAGAAGGGAAATGTTGAAACTATAATACAGAGCAAACATTTTCATGTTACATGGTAAAAGGGGTCAAACGCCAAGTCTGTAGAACTGTGAGAAGATCTTCATTGTGATGTGCGAATGTGAAGAAGAGTAAGAAAATGGAATTGACACTGTACACGGGAACAAATAACTAGTGTACAGTTTTCTTTAATTCTTACAGGGGATTTTTTCTATATAGAGACAATATGATTCTGTGCCTCAGATCAATTAACAGTTCCGCCGAGTCAAACTGTGATCCTTTCTTATAGAGCCAAACTGCTCGAATTCGTCAGATATCAGTTGATGATTGATCATCTTATTTGCAGGCTTTAGGGAAGTGCCTTTCAGCCATTTATGCAGATTGGTTCTGAGGAGCAAGACAGAAAGTTAATGCATCACTGGAACTTGAATTTACATGGGTTTGCTGAAAGGCAATTGTTTAGCTCCACTTTCAACTGCATCTCTCCATAGTCTGTATCTAACTCCTAGCTTGTCATACGACACTGGCCAATTCCATACATTTGCGCCGTTTATCATCCGCTCTTGTTGGCCTACTACAAGCCTCAGATCCTCATTCAAAACCTGTGAAAATCAGAGAAGCATTGTTCTGAGCAGGGATATAGGGAGAATGATCGCCCCCGAGTTTGTTGCATAGTTTCGAAGATGGTTTAGATTACCTGTTCTGCAAAATGCCTCCATAGGCGGTCCACGAATGGGACGTGTTTCAGCAACGGAGCAAAATCTAATGACATTCTGTATAATAACCTTGTTTTCTGTCTTGATGAAGGTAGGCACACGTGAAGTTGGTGAAGATGTGTAGCACACTGCTTGGTGTTCTGTCCTTCCAGCTTACCAGGCTTTGAGATCCCAATTGTTGACAGGACCATACAAGGTGGTCTAAACTCCATGTCTATTGGATACGGGTCCCAATATCCTTGGAGGCCTGAAGCCGGCGTCAAGAATTTCACCAAGCTGAGAGTTTAGAACAAGTGCAACGTCAAGAGTAAAACGAAGGTAAGATTCATTCACCATAGTATGATAACGACAGAGGTATAAAGACTATTTCCATGGAAGATTCTGAATTTGTTTTTGGAGATATTCAAATAAAGATGGGATAGTATTCTTGAAGAGAGAGAACAAACCTGGGGACTGTCCATCCCTTGGCAAAGGTGGATGTGTGGGTGAAAGGAGCATGTGCAAGATCCAAAAGGTTATCCAAAAGTAGTCCATGTTCAACTGGAAGTTCCATGACTATCTGCTTTGGGCAAAAACATTGTGTGAATCTTCTGACTGACTAATAAATAAAACATCTTACAGAAATTCCTTAGCTTGTTGCCTATAGAATAGCAAAGAGGATGGGATTTTTTCCAGAGTATATACCTCTGCGTGGATTTGAAATCCTTTAGGAGGTTGTAAGGAAGGAAGAGTAGGAGATGGAGGGTCACTGCCAGGCCAAACCCAGATCATCCCTTCTTTCTCAAAACATGGCAAAGACTTTATTTTAACATTTAGTAGTTGCGTGGACGGCATCTTCTCGCACTTGCCATCTGTTGAGTACTCCCACCCTGATATTCATTCATCACAGTGTTGGAGAATTAGTGAATCCATTTATATCTACTGATTTGAAACAAGGGCATGTGTCCTTTCAGATGTTTACTAACCATGGTAGGGACATTGGATACGACCCTCATTTACAGAACCAAGATGAAGAGGGCATGCCCTATGTGCGCAAGTGTTCTGTACGCATCCAGGTTTCCCGTCTTTTCCGCGAAAGATTACCCATGGTTCCTCAAAGCAATCAATGGGAATCTGAAACAGAGAAGAGACAAGGCTGTCATGTGAGTTAAGTTGAGTAATCCCAAGTAAAAGCATACGATCTCTCCACTCTTATTGAAAAGAAAAAAAATTCCTCATCTACTATCATCTTATGTTGTTCAAAAGTTCAATGAAAGAATGGCATACCATGGTATCATCGGTGAGGCCTGTGGAAAAGGCAACGGGGTACCAGAAGTTCTTCAAGCGAGGATGATAAGGTTGAACGGGACCCGACACATTCAAGCTTTTCCGCGATATCCTTCTCTTAACCGTATCCAGAGATTGTGTTGAGGAAGAACTGGAAGAAGGGGAAGTTTGCTCCGACTCCTTGGTAGTTCTGTCCAGTAACAGCCTATCATTCACCAATTCTTCCATGTAAGCTAGTTTGTCTAAAGCAGTGGCAACCCTTGCTTCAGATATATGCACCTGTTGTTTTTCATGCGTTAGACTCTAACATGGTCACAAATTAGATTCGATAGGTTCCTTTTTTCCATTTTTCACTCAACCTAAGTAAAGGAATTTATTTTGCAGACCTGTCTATGAGCTTGTGCTAGTTCTTCTTGCAACCCTGCTAGCTCCTTCTTCATGGTACCGATGGACTTGTAATCACGGGCCAAGGGATTCAACACTTCCACAACCTAAACCGATATGTTTAAGAGTAAGACTAAAGAATTAAAACAGCTAAACATAAAATACTAAAGAAAATCAGATAGAAACCCTCTCATGAAGAAGCATGATTGTGAGAAGATCTTGCCGAGCCCGCCAATCGCAGTACTGAATGTCATATCGAGCAACTTCTAGTGCCTGATTTACATCTAAGAACTTCCCTTTGCACTGAGGAACCTTGGATCTTGGATCTTCCACGTCAAAGAGAGGTCCCCAAGCACTCTTCTTCTCCACCAATGAAGCTTCCTCTTCTAAGACAGCAAAGACTCTGAATCCTGCTTTTACACCCTGAAATGCCACACCCTTTAACAATCTATTCTACAACACAACTGCTTAACTATTTCCTTTAGATAGAAATGGATTAATAAGATTATATAAGATCACCATACATATAAAATATTGGAAATACTATGGGGCTGTTTATCAGGATCCTAGTCCAACCCAATATTCAACTAACAGAAAAAAAAAGGAAAAAGGAAAAAGGAAAAAGTAATCTATTTTCCCTCTAGAATCACTTGCCCATATATGTTTGACAAAAATATCATCACTTTTTTAATCTTCTTAACGTATTTAGCATGTAACCGAATGAAGATTAGAAGAAAAATCGCCACTTATAGAGTGGAATAGTAAGTGATCAAGCATTTTCCCAACAAGCCCAGATAAATTTATAGGAAAAAAGAGTAAAAATCATTCGACTTTGGCTTGCTCATTTACGCTAAACTACATTTGAAAATCACGTCTTTCTTAGCTCCTACTACAAATTTAAGCAAACACCCAGATATGAAATTATTAGTAAACTAAACGACATAGAAATAGCTGCATACCTTTCTGTATTTAATCTTAGATGATTTACAGAAAGAGAGTGGCAAGGAAAGAGCTGCAGCTGTGGCTATGGCGTTCATGGCGTTGGGAAGCTAGCTGACAGACTCTAGAGAGAGTGAGGGAGAGAGAGGGAGAGAGAGAGAGAGAGAGAAACCATGGGCAATATTAGAGGGAGAGATTTATTGTTGGGATGTTGTTGATAAGAGGTTGGTGTTGGGCGCGATCTGGGCTTGCCTCCCATGCGCTGCCACGTGGAAAAGCGTGGACTCTCTTCTTTCCCTCGTGGCCTGCCTTAGATCCACATGCTCTTTCGGGCATTCCAGGAGAGTGTCTAAGCTCCTGCGTTTGTGGGCCTTCTTATATCCTGCCAGCTCGGATAGTCAAGATATCTTTCTCTATCTTCTGTTTTGTGTTCATCGTCTCTGTCTCTGTTTTGGAGTTTATATTTTGAAAAAGAGTTTTGAGGTTTTTGTCCTGTGGGGTTGGTGTTATTGTTATTAATTGCTCTTATGTGGGCCGACGTGTAATCTTGTCCACCAATCTGTTTATCAAGGTTTGATAATTACCATTTATATCTTGGGTTTTTTTTTTTCTTAATTAAGGGCATATGCTCTCCTTATTCTTCTCTTTTTTTATCAGAGGCGGCAGTGTTTCATCTCCACGGCAAACAAGTGACTTCGTCCCATTAATAAGTTTTTTTTTTTTTTTGATAAATTTTCCCATTAATAAAGTTACAATTTTTTTAAACATGACTGGATTTAGCTTAAAAGAAATAATAGACATTACTGCATTTTTAGGATCATCCGCGGACCCTTTTTATAAGGAAAATTTCGAAAAATTTTAAACTTTCTCATAAGGTTAAAACACAAAATTTTTGGGGCATATTTTAAAGATACACTAGAATGTGAGTTAAAATAGGCATATTTTCTTATTGAAAAATTATTATTTTCCTAATTATCTTAATATGGGTATCTATAACTATTCTTAATGGGCCGATCAACGTATAGGCGACCCAATTGTGCTAGTTCTTAAATGGGTCAAATCGCCATAAAAAGAATATGGGCCTCGAGCTCAGCCCATAATGGCACAACAGGAGATAAGATTGGAAGTAATTAGATGGCAAAATTTCATAGTTAAGTAAAAATTTAGCAAAAATTTTAAAATATTATAAATATAGTAAAAATGACATAATAATTATCACTTTGATATCATATTTTATAATATATAATGATATAATTATTATTTTATGATATCAAAATGATATAAAATTTTACTATTCTTAAAATATTTCAAAATTTTTGTTAAATTTAAATTTTGATATTAAATTTTTGCTATAATTAATAAGATTGCTTTGCAGGTAACGGAGTTACGGAAGCAACCCCTTCCAAATCGGCAAATTGGACAAAATTTAGGACATGTTCTTTTGTTCAAAAAATTTAAAAAAAGACAACTCAAATTTCAACTTTATTCAAGTTTACGTTCTTTTAAGTTTTAATTTTATTCAATTTTACTCAACTTTATTCAAATTCTAACTTCAATTCAAATTATAACTCAAATTCAACTAAAAAATTACACTCAACTTACACTCCAAAAGAGCAACCCTCTAATATTTTGCATTTGGCATTGACAAACTTCCAATTAACGAATCAAACCGCCATTTACATTTGCACCAATTTAATTAATTTATTAACAATTAATTAATCAAATCAACAGCTTTCCAACATTCTCTGCCACAAAATGGATGTTTAGAGAGAGAGAGAGGGGTAGCGCAATGGGTAGAACGGCAGGCCAAAATGAGGACAAGGTAGGGGCGTTCTTCGTGGCCACTCTGGTTTTGTGGTTCGTCTCCGTCTGCTTCGAAATTCTGTTCAACAAGCGCTCCGAGCTGCTCACCGTCGTCGCCGGATGCTTCTTCTTCCAAACCGCCAACTGGGTCATCCGCTTTTTCGCTTCCCCTGACCCTCTCTTCGTCAACACCTCCGTCTCTCTTCTCCACTCCACCATTACCTCCTCTTCAGGTCCTCTCTCTCTCTCTCTCTCTCTCTCTCTCTCTCTCTCTCTCTCTCTCTCTCTCTCTCTCTCAATTTTCCGTTTTTGTTTTTTGTTTCTGATTATTTTTTTTCTTTTCGTCTTCTTTTCTGAACCGGGTAATTTCTAGTTTCTTCCAATTGTACGTGTTTGGTTTGTAAGTCTTCTAAACTTTATCTGATTAATCGTCTAATGAAGCATACCAAAAGGGCTTAGTGGCATATAGTCTCGTTCTTTTCTCGGGTTTGAATCGAGAATTTGAGTTAAAAAATTAATTTACTGTAACAAAAGAGTCGAATATGTTCGGAAGAAAAGTACTAAAAATGTTTGTTTGAAGGAAGCTCTTGAGATATGGTTGGTTTTTATGCAGTGGTTTTCATTTTGGTTAATCAGTGGTTGAGAAGTGGTCCGAGTGGGATGTTTGAGCACTCTCAGCTGTTTGGGGGCACTTGGCCATGGGCATACGCTGCTTTGTGCTTCTCATGTGGTTACTTTGCTTATGACCAATGGGATATGTTGCAGTACCGATTGTATAGTGGTTTTATCCCGGCCATTCTGGTGCATCATCTTATACTCCTCATTTGCTTTACTCTCGCCTTGTACCGGAATGTCACCATCAACTATCTTATTCTCACCCTCGTTTGCGAGGTATATCGCCGTTTCTACTCAATTTTTTGCATTTTTTTTTAAGATTATGCATCTAACTGAATATGCTGCTATTGTTTGAATCTGGATGCTTTTAAGAAAGTTCCTTTTTTTTTTCAATTGGGATGTGTTATGAGCTGAAGATGTTCTGCTTATCGAGAAAGGGCAATTCGAGGAATTGACAATGATGCCACTTGTTTTGATGATTATTGTATAATATTTGTTGATGGTCAAAATTCGTCTAACAAGTAAAACTCTCACGATCACCTCAGCACATATTAAGTCTCACACTTCGCTGATGATAGAACCCTGCCCAGGCCTCCTGTGAGATTTACCTATACTCGAAGGGGTAAAAAGGGAAAGACAAGTGACGTGGTCAGGTCTAGTGACGTTGCTGAGTTGGCAAGGCCGTTAGAGGAATCTGTTAGAGAGGGAATATAGGGGAGGGGAGGTGCGCTAGGGGGGGCATCAAATCCTGTGGAAGCTTGTCTTGTTCTGGGAGGGGGAGAGATCTCGAATTCTCTCAATTCTATCCTTCGTTTCCTTTTGGTGTTTGTTTTCATTTTCCTTCATGTCTTACTACTCTGTAATCCTGGAGTATTGGAGTGAATCATAATAAAAGGAACCAGAACCCGTCTTTCTGGGTATTTCATTCAGATTTTTTAGTGTGAATTCTCTTATTTTGGTTAAGGGCAGGGCAGGTACCTATCAATTTGGTATCAGAGCATCGGTCCATGGCTAACCTTACAGCTGAGTTGCGTCCAGATCGGGCGGAGGACGTGGAGCGACGTTTGGGAGATCTCCAGGATGTGGTGCGACTTCTCGGAGCCATGGTAGATCCGGTTCCAAGGTTGCAAGAAGATGTGACTATCCTGGCCGATCGAGTAGAGCGGGTGCAAGATGCAATGACGCGCATGGAAGCTCTCTTAGCGCGTCACTTTGGAGGAGAACGAGAACCAGCTCCACGACGAGTAGCAAGGGACAGAGACAGGGAGCGGGAACGCGAGGACCGACAGGAGTCTCCAGCTCGGCGAGGCTGAGTTGAGCACCGTGGGAGGAGGCTGGAGTTGCCCCTCTTCACTGGTGAGGACCCTTACGGCTGGCTATTCCGAGCCAAACGTTACTTCTCGATCAACGGCGTGGAGGAGAACGGGAAGGTGTTGGCGGCATCTGTCAGTTTCGAAGGGCGTGCGTTGGGTTGATTCCAGTGAGCTGAAGCGCAGGAACCATTTGCTAGTTGGAGGGAATTCCGGGCAGCCTTGCTGCACCATTTCAGCCGCGCTCGAGACGGTGATCCAACGGAGAGGTTAATGTCTCTGAAGTAGGGCGGATCGGTGACGGAGTATCGCGACGCCTTCGAGACGCCGGCGGCGGCGTTGAGAGGAGTTCCTGAGCCCATTTTCAGGGGTGCTTTTCTGAACGGCTTGCGGGAGGATATACGAGCTGAGGTCAAGTTACACAGGCCCATCAAACCTTCAAAAGGCCATGGACCTGGCCCAGTAGGTGGAAGATCAGAATGAAGCCCAAGACAAGTTCAGGAGGCTGCAGATGGGTCGGATGTGGAGACCCGATGGGCCAGCCCAAGGTGCCTCAAAAGGGGACCAGCCCAGGGGTAATTATCCCTTCACCCAGAGCTTCCTTCAGTCTAGCAGTTCGAAGGAGTCTGGAACCTTCCCACGAGTGAAGTCTGACTCTGCCCTAGCTCAAGTGGCAGTGACCAGCCGAGAGACAGGATTCTGACGTCTTTCCGACGAGGAGATCCAAACACGACATGCGAAGGGCCTCTGTTTTCGGTGTGATGAAAAATTCGGGCCAGGTCACCGCTGTAAGAACCGGCAGCTACAGGTTCTCTTGGTGGCTGGAGAAGAGTCCGAGTCGAAGGAGACGAAAGAGGAAGAGGTGGAGCCTCCCACAAGGTTCCTGGACGAGGAGGCGGATGTGTCTCTCAACTCCTTGCTCGGGTTCTTCTCCTCTAACACGATGAAAGTAATCGGACAGTTGGGGTCACGCCAAGTGGTGGTGTTGATTGATAGCGGAGCCTCGCACAGCTTCCTATCGACTAAGGTGGTAGAGGAGCTAGGGGTACCCTGTGATCATACGGCTAGCTATGGGGTCCAGGTAGGGAACGGCTTGAAATTCAGGCAACAAGGGGTGTGCAAGGGGGTGGAGTTGCAGATTCAAGGTTTCTGTGTCGTGGAAGACTTCTTCCCCTTTGAGCTGGGCTGTGCAGACGTGGTGTTGGGGGTTACTTGGCTGCGGACGCTTGGGGAAATCAGAGCAGATTGGTCTAAGTACACGCTGACGTTCTTTGACGGCTCTCGTTGGGTTAGGTGGCAGGGCGATCCGACCTTGAGTTGCTCCCCGGTAAGTCTTCATTCACTTTCTAGGCGGTTTAAGTTTCCACAAATGGCATTTTTAATTGAGCTCTATGAGACGGAAGTTAAGATTGAGGCTAAGGTCGGTCCAGCCGTTCCACCGGAACTGTACAGGGTGTTAGACCGGTTTGGGGATGTTGATTCTGGTGAAGAAAAGGGATGGAAGCTGGAGGTTTTGTGTAGACTACCGGGCTCTCAATCAAATCACTGTACTCGACAAATTCCCAATCCCAATAATTGACGAATTATTAGACGAATTGGATGGGGCAGTAGTTTTCTCGAAGTTCGATTTACAGGCCGGGTATCATCAAATCAGAGTTCGCGACGGGGACATCGAAAAGACCGTGTTCCGTACCCATGAGGGGCATTATGAATTTCTAGTAATACCCTTCGGACTGACAAATGCACCGGCAACATTCCAATCCTTGATGAAAGCGGTGTTTCGACCTTACTTGCGCAAGTTTGTGTTGGTTTTTTTTTATGACATCCTCGTTTATAGCCGCACTTGGGAGGAGCATAAGTCTCACTTGGCCACAATGATGGGGGTTTTACGTGCGGAAAAATTGTTCGCAAATCGGAAGAAGTGTATGTTTGGACAATTTCGGCTGGAGTACTTAGGGCATATAATTTCGGTGGAGGGGGTCTCGGCCGACCCATTTAAGTTGCAGGCAGTCCGGGATTGGCCTGAGCCTAGAAACGTGCGCGCTGTCCGGGGGTTTCTTGGCCTCACGCGGTATTACCGTCGATTCGTCAAAGGATACGGGGCTCTTGCCCGACCCCTTACGGATTTACTTAAAAAGGGGGGGTTCACTTGGACGGAGGCAGCCTCGCGTGCCTTCAAGGCTTTAAAGCTAGCCATGACCACTCTTCCAGTATTGGTTCTGCTGGATTTCTCCAAGTCCTTCGTGGTGGAAACTGACGCGTCAGGATCAGGCCTAGGCGCAGTACTAATGCAGGAGGGACGACCCATAGCATATTTCAATAAGGCTTTGTCGCCTACTTCACGTTTGAAGTCGGTGTACGAACGAGAATTAATGGAGGTGGTCTTAGCAGTTCAAAAGTGGTGTCACCACCTACTTGGACGACATTTTGTGGTGCGCATAGACCAACAGAGCCTCCAGTTTTTGTTAGACCAACGCGTACTGCCTCCGGAACATCTCCGTTGGATTTCCAAATAGATGGTGTATGACTTCAAAGTGCAATACAAACCGGGGGCTGCCAATCGCGTCGCGGATGCTCTCTCTCGCCGGGAAGATACTTGTACTTACATGGCCATATCCGTACCACAGTTACTGGACATCGAAGCCATTAAACGCGAGCAGCAGTCAGAGGCCGCGTGTTCACAGCTGATTTCTCAATTACAGGCTGGCCGGCAAAACGCCAGAGGGTACAACTTGCAGAATGGCCTTCTTTGTTTTTAGGACCGCATTGTGCTACCCCCAAATTCAGTTTGGATTTCGCTTCTGTTACATGAGTTCCATGACTCAACTTTAGGTGGACACTATGGATTCTTCCGCACGTATAAACGACTCTCTTCCAACGTGCTCTAGTCTGGAATGAAGAAAAAGATTCGGGACAATGTCTCCCATTGTGCGACTTGCCAACGCTCCAAGTACGAAGCTCTCTCTCCGGCAGGGTTACTGCAGCCCCTTCCGATTCCGCACCAGATTTGGGAAGACATCTCCATGGACTTCGTCACTGGACTTCCCCGGGTAAAGAACATTGACACGATCCTTGTGGTAGTGGATCGGCTGACCAAATATGCTCATTTTTGCCCCATTGGCCACTCTGTGGCAGCCCAACAGGTCGCGGAAGTCTTCATCCGCGAGATCGTCCGCTTGTATGGAATCCCTCGTACAATCGTCAGTGATCGTGATTCTGTTTTCATGAGCTTGTTTTGGCGGGAACTCTTTACGCAATATGGCACAAAGTTGCATCATAGCTCCGCCTATCACTTGAAATCCGATGGCCAAACTGAGGTTGTCAATCGCTGCCTGGAGACATCTTTACGCTGCTTTGCCAGTGACAAACCGAGGCTGTGGGCTCAGTTCCTGCCGTGGGCCGAGTATTGGTTCAACACTAATTACAATGCCTCAACCCAGTTCACGCCCTTTCAAGCAGTTTATGGCCGTCCTCCTTTGCTCCGCTTCTAGGATGTGTTGGCTGGCACGCCTCCGAATTCGGGGTTGGAGTCCGACCACGCACCTTCGTTGGTAGAAGATGTCAATTTACAAATCCAGCTGCGAAACCAGATGCTTGACTGCTTGAAGCACCACTTGGTGGTCGCACAACACCGCATGAAAAAGTTCGCAGATGCGCACCATCGTAAGGTAAATTTTTCGCCTGGTGACTTGGTTTTGCTCAAGCTCCGCCCATACCATCTCAAGTCCTTGGCGCGCAAGGTGAATGAGAAGCTCTCACCTCGCTTCTACGGACCCTTTCGTGTCCTCCAGCGTGTGGAAGCTGTGGCTAATCGTCTTCAATTACCTCCTACGGCTCGTATCCACCCTGTTTTCCATGTTTCGCAATTGAGGCCATTCAAGGGCAGGGAGTACAAGAACCAGCCACTGCCGGAGCAGTTGACTGAGGAGTTGGAACTCGTGGTCGAGCCCGCTAATATCCTTCGCA